TTGATGCTAGAGGTCAGAGGAGAATGGCCAGACTGGTTCGAGCTGGTAGAAGGGTAACAGTAACTCAAATATCCACTCGTTACAACCAAGGTATGCAGAAGAGCATCTCTGATTGTAAAACATGTTGAACCTTGAGGCAGATGGGCTACAGCAGCAGAAGACCACACTGGGTACCACTCCTGTCAGCTAAGAACAGGAAACTGAGGCTACAATCACATTGGCTCACCGAAATTGGACAATAGAAGATTGGAAAAACGTTGCCTGGTCTGATGAGTCTCGATTTCTGCTGCAACATTCAAATGTTAGGGTCCGAATTTGGCATCAATAGGGGTCCAACCTGGTACTAGTAACCCTGTACTAGAAACTAGTAAATTAGATGTACCTAATAAAGTGACTGGTAAGTGTATGCGTCTTTAATAATACACAATTATTCAAAGAATTAAAATCTTTAATAGTGGTAAAAAATTTTACAGAGATAGTAACTTCTGTTCAGGTATTTCTGGAGATTTAAAAAGACAGAAAATGTGTACTTTTTGCATATTCAGTTCCACCATTTAGGATTCAAACATCAACACTAGCAATAATTGCACCGTTTAGTGTTTAAAAAAAGTGACAATATATCCTAGACCAGTGGTTCTCAAATTTTTTTTCATCAAGAACCACCTCAGAAAAAAATTATCTCTCCAAGTACCACCAAAATGAGCAGTATTGAAATACAGTAGTGTAGTAGGCCCAGTAAAGCAGCTACAACTCTGCACAGTTAAAAAAAAACATGGCAAATTACCTCAGAAATATAGGCTATATGTCATATATGGCATACTATATACATCATTTTTGATACATTTTGAAATATATGTAGCATGTACATGACATATTTCATTCCTCCGCGTACCACTAGAAGGAAGCCTGCGTACCACTAGTTTGAGAACCGCTGTCCTAGACAGTTTTTGTGATTGAACATAATACGATTTTATGCCAAATACATCAAAAGTCGATAAAAAAAAAACATCAAACCAAAATTAAATCTAAAGCTCACGTGTTCTCACGCATTGTGAAAGGACCTTGATTTAACAGTTGCATCAGTCAGATATTAAATAAGAGGAGATTATAAATAAGCACGCACTCTTGCACACCTGTTACACATTGTCCTCTAACAGGAAAATACAATAATTAACAGAGCAAAGGAAAATGATTTTCTACATTCAGTTATCAGTAGAGCGACTAGTATCCACACACGCAGGGGTCAAGATCACCAATGACCCACTGAACGCCCCAAAACAAACAGTCCATTCACCGCTGGGGATGTGTTCAATTCCTGTAATTTAGCTCCATTGTCTTGCATTACATAGGGCTCATCTGAGAGGCAAATAAAAGGATCATTAACTTAGTCCAGCTAATATAAAACTCCCAGTGAAAGAGGCACTCTACCAGGGCCTCCATTTAGACTTGGCATTGCTTTAGATGGATGCTTTCTCTGTCCAAAATTACCAAACTGGTTAGCTTGAAGTTGACTACATGCGGAAGGCTGAAGTTATCGCTGCTAGAACTGATTATAGAAGTTACGTTAGATGCCGGTGTAGAGTCTCTGATAAATATACTGGAGCAGAGTTCATGTCCTCAGAGAGCCTGCAAAGGGGTTGCTGAGATCACAAGACTGGCCCAGAGCCCCTCCTCACCTAAGTGGATGGATCACCGTGTGGAACAAGGCCAAATTAGGCCCTGATTAAGTTGGCGAGCGGCCAGTGTGCTCATTCAGCCCACTAAACTTTACACACTACAGAACAAAGGTCCATCTACTGGACGGCAGGTCTGAGAAAAGGCTATCGAAAATCCAAAATGATCAGAGAGTTTAACAAATCCACTTGCTCATTTTAACTTGGCCATTTCTAGCTGGCTGAACAAACAAAGTTCACAGCTACAAGTAACATGCAGTATTTTAATCAAAATTATAAATATATATATATATATATATATATATATATATATATATATATATATATATATATATATATATATATATATATATATATATATATATATATATATATATATGTAGGGGTGCAAATAAGTATGGAGGTGAGTGGTGAGTATGCATGAAAAAAAAATGTTATGGTTCTAAAACAGCACTTTCATAGTGCTTTCAAAATTAAAAAGCCCTTTACCATAGTTTTTTGAATGTTAATAAAAACATAAATAAATAAATAAAAACATCCAGCTGAGGTTTAAATCTGAAAGTGCAGTTTGTTTAAAAATATTGTGTTTTGTATCGACGTCAAAACGAAACAATACCAAATATGAAGTGCCAGATCTGGTAAAACGTGAACACACCTTTCCATTCAAACACTGGCAGAGTGCGGGTGTGTGTGGAACTGATCATGACTGAAGATTAGTGAATGTTCTAGTGATTAATGCAATAATCTAGCCTGCCAGGGGTTTCGTTGGCCATTTGTTAAAGGAAGCATCAGAAAAGACTACTGATTAATTGGACTTTATCAGAGCTTGACAGGAACTTTATCAGTACACAGTTCATGGATCAGTTTCTTCCTTCATTCATGTGTAAGTGCAGTGTAAGTGCAATTAAAATTGTTGTCTCCTTGTTTTCTCTAGCTTGCAAATGATGTATTTAATTCTGTTTTGTTACTTGTAACCGCTTCACGCGGCTTGTACTGTGTCTGGTTAACTCCTTATAGTCATATATCATGTCTAAAGCCCTATTAAAAGCGTTGCACGGGCTACTTTTTTTAAGCGGGTAAAATGAGTCTGTGAGCTCGTGATCCCCTGCTGTTTGTTATTGCTATTAACAAGTTTCAAAATAGGTCAGCTTTTGCCACTGTGTGGATTAATACTGAATGTATGTTGTTGTTTTTACTTACACTGGTGTTAAACTGCATTGCTTTAATGCACTTCTGCATTGGGCTCACACATATACTCTGCACAATGGTGGGCATTTCTCTCTGTCTTGCGCTGAACGCAGTCAACCGATCACAACACACTGAGTCATTGAACCAATCAGCGCAGATTAGCATCATGCTAAGGAGGAATTTGGGAACAAATGAATCACTAAACGAATCATTGGGATAATTAGGTAAAAAATAAATGCAAATTATAAGACATTGAACGTGTTTTTTTGACTCTGCATGGATATCAGCCTGTTGCTGGAGACCCCCAAAACCAAAATATGACTTTTGTTAATGCATAATAGGGCCTCTTTAAATTTTTATATTATATTTTATATTTAATTTTACAATTTTATTTTTATAAGTGAAAAAAATTGTACAAAAAATATATACAAAAAATTGTATATATTTCTTTTTTTTACCTTTTAAGGTTTTTAACCTTTAATGGATGTTACAGTGTAGAGTACTGGCAGGAAATCATGGGGAGCAGAGAGAAGGAAATGACTGGCAATGAACCTTGAGCTGGGAATCGAACTCGGGTCACTGCGAGCACCTTAGCGCTCTATGTCGACACATTTATTCACTAGGCATTATGGTACCTTGTTACCCAAGTTACTAAAGAATTTGATTGTGCATAATACGATTATTACAAATAATGTACCATTGTTAGCAGTGTAAACATTGATTTTGTTTTGTTTGTTACTATAAAGTTATTTGTTTTGTAAGCAGCAGTACCCATAAGCGATCTCATATACAATGCAAGTTTGGTAGACACATGTACACTAACTGACAAAACTCTTGTCACCTATCCAAGTTTTAGAAACAAAATATAATAACTTGAATTCTATTTGAACAGTTGGTATCAGAAGTGGCTTATTTGAAAGGCAAAGGCCTCTAGATTACGCTTATTTTACCTAAATAAAATATGATCATGTCTTGATTTTAATAATTTAACTAGGACAGTAAGGTCTGACTTTGCTTAGACAAAAGTTTTGTCACTTAACAGAAATAATATACAGTATAGAATATAAAGTCATGGTGCAGTGGAAAAAGATTTAATATTGTGTATGACTCCTATGAGCTTGGAGGACTGCATCTGGAATGGGAAAGAAAGTGTTCTTGTAGGATTCTCAGAGTTTATCAATAATATTTGGATTCATCCTCAATGCCTCCTTCTTCATCTTACCCCAAACATGCTCAATAATGTTCTAGACTGGTGACTGGACTGGCCAGTCCTGGAGCACCTTTAACTTCTTTGCTTTCAGGAACTTTGATGTGGCTATCCGGCTGAAGAATTTGCCCTCTATTGTGGTTTGCAATGTAATGGGCAGCATAAATGTCTTGATACTGCAGGCTGTTAATGTTGCCATCCACTCTACAGATCTCTCACAGGCACCCATACTGAATGTAATCCCAAACCATGATTTTTCCTTCACCAAACTTGACTGATTTCTCTGAGAATCTTGGGTCCATACGGGTTCCTATAGGTCTTCTGCAGTACTTGTGATGATTTGGATGCAGTTCAACAGATGATTCATCGGAACAATCTACCTTCTGCCAATTTTTTAATTTATCGACTAAAAGTAAAGTTATTATTTGTTGCTCTTACAACTTGGATTGACAGCAAGACAATTTGTCAGGTAATGTATGACACATATAACCTTAAGAAACTGTACAATATTACACAATAATGCCATGTCAAATAGTTTTCTTGTTTGTAGTCATCTTCTGTGATAAACAAACTATGTGGTAAGTGGTTCCAGTAAGATGCGTCTATTCCTAGATCCTTCTGTCATGTGTGATATGTTGCATACCTCAGTCGCACGTAGTGTGTATTCAACCACCACTGCAAGTCAGTGACTGGAGTTTGTGATATAAAAAATTAAGAATATATAAAGTGATATGAACATTAACTCCCAGGGCACACCTTGGTTAGTTTAACAACATATTTGCTTTTGGAAGCTTAAAAAAAGCAACTATCCTACATAATTATATAGTATAGAAGAACCAAACCACACCGTGTCTGTCTGACTTTATGGGTTGAACAATTTCTTTAGCTACTAATGAAGAAGACTCACTAGATTTAATTCAAAATACACTTACCAATGACGATGAGGGTGTAGTTGATATTGACACTGCCGAATCCATTGGTGGCTTTACAAATGAACGTCCCAGCATCGTCTGCCTCCACCTCTTTGATGCGGAGAGCTTGCTGAAGAACCCTGAAGCGCATCCAGCCACTGTGAATGTTTCGTCCGTCTTTGGTCCACATGATGAGGGGCGGCGGATCACCCTCCACAGGACACTGAAGCTTCATGGTGCGACCGATTCTGACAGTCTGCCGGTGGGCGATCTTTTCTGCTACACGTGGAGGACCTAGAGAGAACAAGATGAGTTAAGTACTGCCATAATAGTATGTCATCTGACAAAAACACTGAGGAACGCTTTAAGCCGAAATGTTTGCATCTGTTACCTGACGAATGTAAAATAAATATTTAAAACAAGAATATTTTAAATAAAAGAATCTGGGTATACCTAGGCATAGTTAAATTCAATAAATAGAAGTGTCCATATCGTGAGCCTCAGACACCATCAGTTCCACATTCTCAAGTAAATCCCGGGAGTGTAAACCCCCGGTGAAAAAAAGGCCAATCAGAACACAATACAGACTATTGTGTTGCACACAGAATGATTCATGTGCATGCCCTGAACATTTGCATGTACTTTAAGGCATGTTCTACATCAGCTAAACCTGCATGAGCAGTCTTGTCATCAGACAAAACACAGACTAATATGTTGTACATGGGACCACTAATAAGCACATTCTAGGCTGTTTGACTGGCCACAATGTTTCCTAATGAGATTAACAATAATTTTCTCCCTAATTAATAAGTTTATCCAAGTTTAAATTAAACTTACTATGCATGTTGAACTCTTATTTTGAAAACGGGAGACACAGTAAAGTTTCTTTGGATAAAACCAAAGCCAGCCACATCCGTTTGTTTTCTATGCATTGCTAAACAACGACATCAATTGAGCCATCTGTTGCACTTTAGGATGCAAAATGCAGGATATACAGATTTGCAGGATTGTTTAAGCTATTTCTACATCAGTGTTGTTAACAATGCTGCATCATTTGTTTTAAACTAGTTTCATTTGTGGTTTATTATCAGAGAACTCTGTAACTAACTCAGACAGCATTGTTCAGTGTTCATGTAAATGTGTGGTCCAATGAAATGCATTCATTTGAATTTGGAGCCTTGAATAGGTTTTACAGGAAATAGTCAGAAAAACAGAAGATTCTAGATGGTTCCTTAAGGTCAGATGACAAAGAACAGACTGGTTAAAACAGACAGAACAACAACAGCAACTCAAATAAGTCTGCAGGAAAACCTCTTTGAATTCCCAAAATACAAAACCTTGAAGCAGATGAGCTACAGGAGCAGAAAAGCATACTGGGTTTTACTCCTTTCAGCTAAGAACAGGAAACAGAAGCCACAATTCACATAGGGTAAAATTAAGATTTTTGCTAAATAATTTAGAGAGAAGGATCAGAATTTGGAGTAAACAACATGAAAGCATAGACCCTTCCTGCCTTAATCAACAGTTCATGCTGCTGCTAGTGGTGTAATGATATGGGGTGCCACATTTTGAGTCCCTTATTACATTTAACCTTGGTTTTAAACGCCAAAGTTCAGCCAAGTTTTGTTGCTGACATTTACATCCCTTTATAAGTAATCTGTGATGACGACTTTTAATAGAATATTGTGCCACAAAAGGTGAAATCAACTTTAACTGGTTTGCTGACAATGACATGAGTTTACTAAACTGAAATGGCCTCCACAGTCAACCAGATCTCAATCTTTGGGATGTGCTGGCATAGGAGATTTTTACCATGGATGTGTAGATTACAAATCTATTTACATCAGTATGGATCAAAAGTTGCATTTACACTGCAGATCTTGATGGTTAAGATCAAGAAAATTAAATTTTGAAGACAACTCACTAACATATTCTTTTAGAAGTGTCTTGTACCCGATAACTGCATTTACACTACAGACGGCAACGATACATTGACAGGAAAAAAATGCACTGACTTACAGCTGTGATAATAAAGAAGCACTATTTTCCTGTATTTTACGCTATGCTGTTACCTAGTTAACTATAGCTGGGGACTATTTTAACCCTCTTAGGCATGGTGTTGCCCTCAGGCAACAAACACATTTTTTGGCTCGCAAAGACTTATTTTTTTTTTTCAATAAAATATCACAAAAAAGGTTTAATAATAAGTTGGTGACCAATGAAACTTGAGGTGGGTGTGGATTTGACCTGTCCTCTGGGGTCAAAAGTGCCATTTGTGGGACAATGGCCTGCTTGAGCACACTGCTGACACAATGTAAGATTTCACTTTTTAACATGTTTACATTTACATCTCCTTATATCAACAATATGTGCGATATGCATGGATATGTGAAGAAGCATGTTTGATTGAGAAAAGACACTTTTTGTTATTATCTATATACTAAAATTGTAGTTTTTCCATTAGTTGTCTCAAGGCAACATTGTGCAGTAGGACCACTTTTGTTAATACGATAACATCGTATGGAAATGTCCAGAAATGTATAGTTATTACCATAATATATATATTTGCTTTACTGTAAACTATTACTTACAGGAAAAACATTTTATGCAGGTAAAGAACGAGATTGAGACTCATTCCTTCTGACAGCGAGCTTGAAGAGTCACATTACCTATGTTTTCTTTTAAAAATGCGAATTCAACTTGCAAAAAGCCACAGTTCTGCACGGTTTCTCTTTAACCCTAAATAAACAAACCAGATTAAACTTAGTTCTTCAGGCTTATTTGAAACCTACAGGTAAGTTGAAGCAGGGTAACTCTGCAGGGATGTGGCCCTCCAGGAATTGGGTTTGATGTGCATCTGGATTCACCCAACTTGATGGTCATGGATACACAGAAAGGGAGATACAGAGTATCAGGGTGCAAAGGTTCATCAAAGGGAAGGTGCCCATACTCTGTCCTGAAGGGCCAATGTCCTGCAAAGTTTCGTTGCCAACCTGCCAATATGTTTCTAGTATGCTAGTAAGAGCTTGAGTAGCTGGTTCAGGTTTGTAATTGGGGTTAGAGCTAAACAATACTCCATTTCTAGCTAGTTACTGATAAAAATATTACTTGTTGATATTGTTTATGTTAAATGAAAACTTTTTCTAATGTATTTATGGCTTGTTTGTATCTCATTTCACATATAATAATATACAGAAAACCTTGGTTTCAGTGCGCTAATTGCACGTTGCTGCCCTGAGGCAACTAACCAAAATCTGGTGGGGGGGCTAGAGGGGAGCACATTTTATGGGACCACCAAGCACCCAAAAATTAGGGTGAAATATTTTTCAACCTAGACAACAGCAACCTTTCCTTTTCCGTCAGACATATAACATATAAATACATAAGAGTCAAGCTTTAAATGAGAAAATGATCAAAACTCTTTTTTTTTTTTAAACAAGATGCTAATGGTCTAATCCGATTAATTGATTTATGCTAAGCTAAGATAAAAGTGGTCCAGTCCAAACCGGAGATCGAGTCAACTATTTAACTATTTAAGTTCATTAAATGCATTAACTCACAGTTTTATTTAGTTGTAGTTGTTCATTTATTGTGATTTATGTGTGTTTTACATTTTATTTAAATTAACAAAGATGTTTTGCTGACCAATAGGTTGTCTTTGCTTTACTTTACTAAAACAACCCTGTATTCAAAAAAAGTGTTCACTATTTTGAAACTAATGTAAAAGGAAATCTTCAGTGCATTCAACTAAGACATTAGCTCTTCAAGAGATCAGACAGAGCTTTAAAGAGAGTCTTGGCCGGTTGAGCAGAGCGAGGCTTCCCCCTGCCCACGCACAGCTCTGCTTACTCCCGTTAAAAGACCCGATGCAGGAAATTGATAGTGTCACTGTTTATGTCTGCGGGGAAATTGTAACCGCAGTCCCCTGTCAGACAGCCATGTCTCGCTGGCATTCTCTGCTACTGGCCTGCATTGTTTGTGCGCTTCTCGGTTGGAGGTTGGAAAGGTCAGAATCTACAAATACTGTCTACACTCGTCCTCTCAAGGCTGCATGAGTCACTCTAATAGCTGTTTACGTAAGGCTAATGCCAGATTGGATCCATTTAGCTGCCACAAAACGAGGCTTAAGAAGATCCTGTGGTGAAAAAAATTTGAGAAACAGATTTCCACATGCAGTCATACGCATGAAGGATATTTCGTTTTAGATCTTTCCTCTAAAAAAACACCATGCACATAATTGCAGCCATCACTGGGATAAATGAAGAGGAAGGAGTGTTTTACCTCATTGTCAGACGTCCTTCCAATACTTAATCATTTCCAAAATCCATCTCACAAATTAAAGCCATAATCTGATGTAAGAGATCCTCTGAATGACAGAGGAAAGCATCATGGAGCCGTATATCAGGTTAATATGAGAAACAAAACTGAAGTGTATGATGAAGAGGCTGTGGAAAAGAAGGTTGTTTATGTTTGCAGGTGTGAAACCTAGAAACTTTTGACTTTTTTAAACAGTCATAGATTCCAAATAACATTGCAATTAGGTACAATAAGATTTTCCCCCCATTTCATTTCTGATAATGTTTATCATTACATTAAATGCTTATCATATTTCAAGAAACAAAATGCTTTTAGTTCTGTGCTGTATTTTTAGATTCTCTACAGTAACCCTGTGCAAGTCTCATGATCATCATTTCACTCTTAATGATGAGATTTTTTAAAAACCAAACCTAAATAAGGTTGCTTTTGACCTATTATTAAAAGACATGCATTCAAGAGAGATTTCTCTGGTATATTGGCTTTATTTAATTATTTATTTATTTCAGCAACAATTACCCTATCCTGCCTAATTAACCTAATTAACCAAGTTAAGCCTTTAAATGACACTTTAATGTCACTTTTTTAAAGTGTCTTGAAAAAAAATAATGTTTATGCGTAAAATATTATGCACTGTCATCATGGCAAAGATAAAATAAATCAGATATTAAAAATGAGTCTTTAAAACTATTATGTCTGGGACTGTGTTGAAAAAAATATTCTCTCTGTTAAAGAAAAATTGGGAAAAAAATTAAAAGGGGGCTGACTTTATTCTGTATGTATGTATATATATATATATATATATATATATATATATATATATATATATATATATATATATATATATATATATAACTATGTGACAAAAGTCTTGTCGCCTATCCAAGTTTATTCTAGTTGATCATTTGGTATCAGAAGTGGCTCATATGAAAGGCAAAGGCCTCTAGTTTAAGCTTATTTTAGCAAAATAAAATATTACC